TATACTTCGCTGTAGCACCACTCAGATTACCCGATAAAGGTTACAATTTGGTATTTCTTGTACCTGGGGTATTTATTCAATCTAAATCCAGGTTTGAAGTGAGGTGGAATGTGAGTTATGTGATATGCACGTGGCAGCCCAGCAAGAGATGTATGATCAGTTACTTTACTTTTTTGTAAATCAACGGATCATTCCCAGCCATCAAAGGATCAACAGGAAATACGTTGATTGATTAATTACCGTTATCTTGCACAGTGGATATGTCAAAAGTGAGTGTTTACATGTGAAGGTAGGTTTACTAAACCTAGGGAATATACACTGACCGGTTGTTCATTGTTATCTAACTCAATGGATTCTCACAGAGACATTTGACATCGAATAAGTATTTTTGTACAGCTGCAGACGCGATGGATATTGTTCCTTTATGTTGATATTCACGGATACATTATAACTTTGGTAGGTTGTAATAATGATATTTGCATTTTGTTTTCATTCATTCGCTGCAGCTTTGAACATAATCATTCTTGTTCCTTTCCGCTTGGTTGGGAAGTTCTTCAATACGCGATAGACGTTGTTTTCACAAGTATTTTCTTTTGATTGCGTGTATATGTTACAGTCCATGTGTAAAATATGATTCACTCAGGCAATTTATAAAATATCTAAATATTTCAGTCATTTTACAAATTGACTGAATAATCTGTCCATGTATTTAACCGACAGACTAAAAATGATTAAGACGATCAAAAGAGGTTAAACACATCACAATATATTAATTATGCTAAGAAAAGAAGCCAAACAATACAGAACTGTACTTGGTGATGATATTAAACATAAACAAATATATTTGGAATTCGTTATAATATTGATAAAGATGGACATATTTTTCTGTCAATTTGTAAAATAACTGAATATTTAGGCGTTTAATAAATTTCCTTAGTGAAATCTGTTTACATTTTGAGTGTAAACATACATGTACATTGACGATATTTTAGAGTGAGTGAGTGAGTATGGTTTTACGCCGCTTTTAGCAATATTCCAGCAATATCACGGCGGGGGTCACCTGAAATGGGCTTCACACATTGTACCCATGTCGGGAATCGAACCCGGGTCTTCGGCGTGACGAGCGAACGCTTTAACCACTAGGCTACCCGACCGCCCCGACGATATTTTAGAGGGGACAGAGGAATGGTCTGAACATATGGGCAGCTTAAGAGCCGTTTTCAGTCATTTACGGCAGTACCATCTCACAGCTCCATCCTCCAAAGTGGTAACTGGGTACCATTCATTCAAGTTTTTAGCCCATACTGTCGGTAAAGGTAAGATTTCCCAAGACAGGAAAAAGTTAGACAAAATCCTAGAACGGTCGAGGCCGACCACAAAGAAACAGGTAAGAGCTTTGATTGGTCTAACTGGGTATTATTGCCGATTTATCCCCAATTTTTCAGCTATTGCGGCACCCCTCACGGATTTAACCAAGAAAGGTAAGTCCAACATAGTTGAGTGGACAGAGAGTCATGAAAAGTCATTTAAAACTTTCAAGTATTTGATGGCCAGTGCACCTATACTCCATTTACCTGATTTGGACAAGCCATTTCTACTGAGGACAGACGCCTCAGATGTAGGTATTGGAGCAGTCCTTCTGCAGGAACAGAGTGGTGAGAAGTTTCCCATCATGTATGTCAGCAGAAAATTACATGACAGGGAAAAGGCATATTCGACCATTGAAAAGGAGTGTTTGGCCATTGTGTGGAGTATACAAAAGTTGAGTAGATTTTTGTATGGAAGGGAGTTTTTCATGTAGACAGATCATCAACCACTAGTGTGAATGACGAAGGCTAAGTTGACAAACGGGCAAGTTATGAGGTGGGCCTTGGCTTTGCAGACGTACAGATTTTTCATACGGGCAGTAAGAGGTGTTGAGAATGTTGGGGCAGACCTTCTGAGTCGTTGTCCACCTTAAGTGGTTTAGTATATATATGTCAAGATCACAATGTATATATTTGTCTGAAGTTGGTTTGATTGTATGTGTTAGAGTGTGGTTGGACTGTATGTAAGCTGTGAGCTTTAGAGGTGTTATGTAAGATAGCTTGGATCAGGTGTGAACGTCTTTTGTTGTATGAGCTGTGTGATTGAATGGGTATTTAAAAAGACTGTGAACTGAAATTCAGGGCAGTCAACGAAAATTCTAACCTTGGTCAGACGGTTTTGGTTTTGGTGTGTTGTCCCAATCTTGTGGCTGTCCCGGGACCCAGAGGGGCACCTGTATGAAGTATGAGGAGGCAGGGACATTCATTTTATGAAGCCTGACCCCAAGGCGACAGATGGCCAAGTACACAAGGGTGTTTACATCTAGATTTGCCTTTAGCATTTTGTTGAGATGTGCTTCCTCCTCTTCCGCAAACCCGAGAGGTGTTCTTCGCATCCTCTGCTTGATTGGCTCGGCGTTTCCTGTATCAATGGTGTGTTCTAGGGCTGTGAAGTTGCCTAAATCTAATTCATCTTGAGCAAACACATCTTGAAACTTGATAAGAAGCTCGGCCAACTTCCTTCTGTCTGATAGTTTGAGATGTGTAGAAGAGCGGTGGTACAAGTCTTCCAGATGTGGTGGCGGATTAGGGAATGGTGTCGATGTACCTTCTGAGTCCATTTCTAAGTCAGTGCCCCCTTCATCCTGATAAGTGACTTCACTCCGGGCTGGCCCCTGGGGATCTCCATCTGGGCTGATTTCCTCCACCTCCGAGACAAAGTCTACCTCCTGTCCTTCACCTAGCTTGACGGTACTCAGTTGGATTTATCAGTGGGATTTACCATGCATATGATTGGCTCTTTTCCTGGCCCACGTAGTATTCGAGGGATAAGAACTTTTCCCAAGATGGTCATATAGTGACAGAGTTCCTCGTCGAGCGTACACTTGACCATTCGCACAGGGGGAATACTAGTCTTGGATGCGAGCCAGATTCCACATACTGCGGGACCTCTTCAGGACTTGATCATCATGGGCACTTCTATTCCACGGATAACTAAGACATGCTCCTCCAGGTTTATACTGTTGCAATGGCGGAGGATGAAATCTGCCCCAGTAACATGTCATCTTCTATTGGCGCCACACATATGGCCAATCGATAAGTTTTCCCCTGGATCCTTATTCTTGTCATATCCATTTTGAAACCTTTCATTTTAAGATTTCTCCCTGCATTCAACACGACCTCTTGTACTGTGGGTGGTTGGTCCGTCAAATTACAGAACAGCCTGTTGGATATAACTATCATCTCTGCTCCACTGTCAATAACAGCTTCGGTTGAGAAACCCTGTATCTCCAAGGTGATCATGAGTGAGGCTCTTTGGGTCAGGGTGCTAATGTTGATCAGCGGGAGGCCGGTTTCTTCATCAGTGTAGTACCCTACTTGTTTAATAGATGCATTCAGGAGACTCATATGTGATAATATTGTTGGGTCAGACGTCCATGGTGCGACTTGATCCCGCCATCCCTGTGTCTAATGCTTCAACTTCCTTCTGGGGAAGTGGAACCTCTGGTTTCGCTTCAATTGTCGGGTCAGGGGGTGTGGCGGGTTGCCCAGGGTATCCCCCACATGGTTTAGCGAACTCTGGTCTTCCAAATTTAATAGGTGCACCTCAGGCTCTTCTAAGTGGATGTATACCGATGTAGACCGCCTCAAGGACTGGTCTACTTTGGCATCAGGTGGTCGTGTATTGTGACCTATTGGAATGGTGGGGGATAAACTCAGGCCGTCTTGTTCATCCCCAAGGAGTTTGGGGAACCTGGTTGAGGAATCGTGAAGTTGACTTTCTTCTCGGGTTTAGGGCTTTTTGGTCTCCTTCTTAAATTCCGTCAGCCCTCACTCTACTTCCTCCTTTCACTGTTCGAAAGAGCGCGACTCCCCTACTCCGTTCAGGCTTGTCATATCTTCTTCCACCACGACCTGTCTCTCGCCGGGGTTGCAACCCATATACCACTTGAACATGGTGTTGGAAATGCCGGACCCTATCTATTGCATCCTCCAAGGTATTGTTGCGAAGATTAGCCACAAACTTACTGGCTTCTTTATTTGAACACCCTTGACAAAACTTTGTGATAACTTGCTGGTCTACATAGTAGTCAGGCAGACCTGGGAAGGCAATCACGACTGTGTGACTAAACGCTCTGACCATGCTTCGAGAGACTCGTCTGACTCCTGGCGCATCGTCTGAAACTTAATCTGGGCCGTCTCGGGTAGTTCTGCCTTGTCAAACCGTTTCTACATTTCAGAGGCCATGGCCTCGAAAGATATGTCAGGTTGTCATCCCTTACAAATGGCAAAATAGCCAAGGGCTTCCTCCTTAAGGCAAAGGCATAGGGTGTCCGTGGTGCACTCCAGTCTATCATCCATGCCTGGCTGCGACTCCATGCTCAGGTGCCCTCGTATATGCGCTTCCTCAGGTTGTACTTGATCACATTCTTCTAGCCTGCCAATCTCGGCACTTCGAAGCTTGTTCTGTAACCGTGAGATTTCTTGGCAGGGGCTGCGGCTCTCGGAAACTTCGGCTGTACTGGCGGACTTGGCCGATAACCACACACGTATTTGCGTTAGCTTGACCCAGTTTTGGTTTGGTTTGGTGTTTAACGCCGCACTCAGCAATATTCCAGCCATATGACGGCGGAGTGTAAATAATCGAGTCTGGACCAGACAATCTAGTGATTTACATCATAAGCATCGAACTGCGTAATTGGGATCGATGACATGCATAAACCAAGTCAGCGAGCCTGACCACCCGATCCCGTCAGTCGCCTTTTACGACAAGCATAGTCACCTTTTACGGCAAGCATGGGTTGCTGAAGACCTATTCTACCCCGGACTCTTCACAGGTCCTTGACCCAGTTAGTAAGTGGAATGTGACTATGCATACACAGAGCCACAGACACTTGAGGTGCTGCGTCATATTCACGTGATAGTACTGAAGTGAACAACACAGATATATAGAACCGGCGGTAGAGATCGGCGGTGTATAGGGGATCAAGTATGGCAAGCAAAACTTCCTCAGTTGACCTGGTGCTTGAAGCATTAGGAGGTAGAGGACGGTACCAGAAATTTCAGTACTTTGCGAGCAATTTGTCAGCTTTATCAGCGTCGTTCCAGCTCCTCAGCATTGTATTTGTGGGTATGTAGATGTGTATTGAATAACAATATTCATACGTTTAAATGCCTCACTTAACATTCCTATTTTTGGGTGTCATACAATATAGAACATTTATATACTGAACAACAAAAGTTCCTGTGACATTGAATAAGATTTAATGAAAAGTTATGTTTTTTACCAAATCTGAAACAATTTCGGTTTGCCACAGATAAAAGCCATAAAAAAACATGTACATGCCAAAATGTCAATTTACAAATCAATACCGTGTGTGTCCACCTCTGGTTGCGATGCAAGCAACACATCTTCGTCTCATGGAATGGACCAGGCGTCGCACAAAGTCCTGTGGGATATCTGTCCATATCTGCTAGAGCATGTTTCGAAGTTCCTGGAGTGTCCAGTTTTGCTTATTGTACCAAAGGGAATCTGCTTCAGTAGATGATCGAGGCTGATTATTCTCTGGCGTTGATTTGTTTTTATAATCACAATTTGAACTAATACTATAGTGCTTGGAATCGAGTTATTGCTACTGTTACAATCTTGGTTTCATGTCGCTGATAAAAGAGTGTGAAAACACTCCAATACACAAACATTCGTATTAGATAACGGCCTTTGTCAAAACTATCTAAATAACATGACATCCTTGGATACTCACTGTGTGAAGTCGAACTGTTGATAAAATCGGCTGATTAAATCAGTTTCTTCACCACTAATACCTTGTATGATTGTTTTATAGTTTTGTTTCTGAATTGTTCATGTTAGCGATTGCACTCGACCACAAATGATGTTTCACTGATTAGGGCAGATAATAACTTCCTTCGAATTAAACGCCATGTATAATACCATCGAGGACAACATTAAGTTTTACCTTGCATAAATTATTTCAATGTTTTTGTTTTGTAGGTAGACATGTGGCCCATACCTGTAAGCAGCCGGTGAATATATCTGATATCTACCGGGTCATTGACAATGACCTCTTTCAGGCCAACAACAGTATCGTGTACTTTGAGAAATGTAACATACGGGTGGAAGCCAATATTTCTGGCAATGTCTCCACCTCCGATTTGTCCTGTATCTACGGATACGAGTATGAGGACAGGAAAGAGACTTCGTTGATGTCTGACGTGAGTTACAGGTTTGGTTCTTTTTAGTGCAAAAACAATGAAACATTGTAGTTTGATTGGAAATATGTAATATCTTCACACAGAGACAATTAAGTTAATATTTTCTTTAAATCCTTCATCTAACTTATTCGGGGGCACGGGTGGCCCAGTCGTCTAAGTCGCGCCGGGATTCGCTGTGCAGAATTGCGTCCCTTGGGAAAGCCAGAAACCTATGATTGTGGGTTCGAATCCCGGTTCGCCCCGATTATGTTTCTAGGTTTGTCAGCACCATACCCGTGCTCGTGGGTTTCACCGAAGTGGTAAACGTCTGAGACCAGCATCACTTCGGGCTTTCCTCCCACATTAAGCCGAAACGCCGTGATATAACTTGAATACTGTTAATAGCGGCCTTAAACCCAACTCACTCACTCACTCACTCATCTAAGTTATTCACTTAATCATTAATCAGCCCCGATACCTAGTAACAGTATCAAAGCAAGCAACGTATCACCGTTGCAGTACCACCACTAATATAAGTCTACGTTAAAGAATAGAAGTTACAACAGTCTCAGTGCTACAAACATACCTTGTAGTGCAAACTGTGGGCGTGGCGGCTGCTCACTGTTATTTTGCCTTCTACGCCCAATGAAATATGTTACGTCTGATTACTGAGACCGTTTATTCTCTTGCTTTGATGTTTACAGATGGACATAGTATGTGACAGATCACATTTGAGGGGATTTGCACAGACGCTGCTCATCATAGGCCAGGGTATCGGAGCTTTCATCCTCCCCGCCCTCTCGGACCGATATGGACGCCGCCCTGTTCAACTCGCCGCTCACCTTTGTGTTCTTGCATTAGGCGTGTGCGTCGCCTTCGCCCCTGACTACACTGCATTTCTTGTGATACGGGTGTTCTTGGGAATTGTGCAACAGGTAAATTTGATTTTACTACTCTTTATGCCTCCAACCTAAACAATAGAAACTTTGATCTCGAATTACAACTTCTTGAAGAATAACATCCTCTAAGGGCACTAACCGGTACTTTTCTTTATAGTCATCATCTGGTCTGTCTGCCTATCCGTATTTCATTTCCGGTGCATGGCTTGAAAGCTGTCATCGATTATTCAAATATATATTGGTATATTTTATTAACCAGGGGCTGAGATGGTGCCTTAGTTATTCTGATGGCCGGTGGGATTAGTAATCTTCTGAAGACTCTTGTCTAGCTATTGTTTTAACGCATTACAAGAAAACATCTGAAGATGTGGTATTACTTCAGAAGACATGTGTGCATCCCACAACTCCACATGTATTTTACCTATTTCACAGGGAATTGTTCTGACAAGCATAACAATAAACATTGAGCTCTTCCACTCTCGTCATCGAAAGCTATGTGGGCTCTTTGGATGCCTTCGTGGGCAACTTGCAACTCTTTAATCGCTCTAAACGCCTACTTGATGCAGAGCTACTCCTGGAGAACTACACAGCTTGTCTACTGTTCAGCGTCCTTATTGGTCTTTGTCCAGTACTTGTGAGTGAATATCCTTCATTATGGACCCGACGGCATTAGGATTTTGCTCATATATCCTTGTCCTAGGAAGCTTTGTTATTGTACGTCACTGCCTTGTGATTCTCATTGGAGCACTATTACTTTCGGTGGAAACTACTATTGTTGGTAGGGGACATACTAAATCAATAAGCTTAACACATGATGCTTTAATGCCTCAGAGATGTTCTATTTGACCGTATGTGTGAAATGGATATTCAGAAGACTTTGACATGAAACAACCTGATTTACCTTTGTGGGGCGGTCGGGTAGCATATGAGTGAGTGAGTGAGTGAGTGAGTTGGGCGTGTAAGCTTAATGTGGGAGGAAAGCCCGAAGTGATGCAGGTCTTAGACGTTTACCACTTCAGTGAAACCCACGAGCACGGGTATGGTGCTGACAAACCTAGAAACATAATCGGGGCGAACCGGGATTCGAACCCACAATCATAGGTTTCTGGCGTACCCAAGGGACGCAACTCTGCACAGCGAATCGCGGCGCCTTAGACGACTGGGCCACCCGTGCCCCCGGGTAGCCTATGAGAATTGAGATTTGCTGATATGGCAACGCACCAATTGAATGAGTGTTCAGTTATATTTCTGGGTAAATTTTGTCAAAGTTTCTAAAATTTAACATTACCTTGTCCAAATGATTTGATGACAATAAAAACCGATCGTCCAAACGCATCACAACAAAGGCCATGGCAACTCGATGCACATGAGTTTCGTGCAAATTGAAATGCCATGCGTTCCCCCCATTTCGTGCCCTTTAAAAATCCACCCAGATCGGATAACATTCATTCGTTATTGAATTGCTACCACATGCCAAGATTGACAAGAAATCAACGACACCAAGCCCTTGAACGATTGCAAGCTGGACAAACTGCCCGGCAAGTAGCCAATGCATTTCAAGTCCACGTAAGGACCATATACAGGCTCCAGCAACGGTACCAGACCACCAGCACTATAGATTACCGACCACGTAGTGGAAGACCAAGGGTCACCATCCGGCGTCAGAATCGTCAGATTGTGCGACAGCATCTTCAAGATCACTTCGTTACTGCTGCGAAAACTGCTCTACATACCATGGGGACGATTGAGGAGCAGACACCTTCACAGGCCACACCGAGGACCGATTCTGACATCACCCCTATCTCAACAGCACACACAGAGAGAGAGAGAGAGAGAGAGAGAGAGAGAGAGAGAGAGAGAGAGAGAGAGAGAGAGAGAGAGAGAGAGAGAGAGAGAGAGAGAGAGAGAGAGAGAGAGAGAGAGAGTCTGCGACGCCGTGGGGAACATTATTCGGATCCTTGTGTTGTTGAGAAAGACTCGTGGGGTGGTCTGAGGATCATGGTGTTGGGTGGAATTGGTCTTGCACAGAGAATCGACCCTGTTGTCTTCCAGGACATCGGTCCAGGTTGGGGCAATGGTGAGACAAGAGACTTCCTCCAGTAGAATGGCATCAGAACCATGCAGTGGCCTGCCCTCAGTTCCGATTTAAATCCCATTGAGCACTTGTGGGACGAGATTAAAAGACGGCTGAATGACGTTCGACCAAGGCCAACAACTGCAGCTGAACTGCGTCACGCGTTCCTCAGAGCGTGGGCCTATGGCATTCATCAACCGCCTTATCCATTCCATGCATCGACGTTACACGGCAGTCATCAATGAACATGGCGAACACACGAGATACTGACTTGTGATGGCATTTTCTCAGAGACTAGTGTTGTGTTTCACTTTAAGAACATTTGACACTTTAATTTAAACCTTGATGATCAGTTTTGCCAAGTTTCGTCGTTTTAAGAGCTCTCAAAGTATGTTTACAGTGTTTCTCATATATCTATCCATGGTGACGGTTTTTTTTGCTGTTCAGTATAGTATATTTACTGTTAAATATATCACAAAGTAACATCTCACGCATTACTTAATTACAGCATGATCATCACTATGTTGATAAATAATATATGGTATATACATATATAGTTTAAGAATAAACTATGGAAACATTCTAAAACATTCTGTCTATTCTTTGTAGGCAGAAATGTGCCCCATGCCCGCAAGCAGCCGGTGAATATATCTGATCTCTACTAGGTCATCGGCAATTACTTTTTACAGGCCAACAACAGTTTGGTCTACTTTGAGAAATGTAAATATTAAATTTATAAGGCTTCTCATATTCATTCTGTCGATCTACCATTTTCAGCATTCTGGACGAATCTCTGTCTTGGTTGATCACCAACAACAAGACCAAGCAGGTCACCAAGAATCTCAAAAAAGCAGCTCGCATCAGCGGTAAAGACTATCAAACTGTTTTGAATGTTTACAAGGACCTACAGAAGAAACAGGAGTCTGAGAAGAGCCTCACTGCGTCTTTACTGGGAAGCAAAGACCAGGGTGTAAATGGGGAGAAGTCGGATCTAAAAGAGAAGGATAAAACCAAACCATCCTTTCTAGAAATGATGAAAAGAAAACTGCTGGCCGCGAATGTGTTTGTATTGTGGTTTACATGGTACGTCAGCCCTCTTTTCCTTTTCCATTAGCTCAGTCATAATGACAGTGCTTACTGGTATTGTAATACTTGGCTCAAATCAAGAAGAAAATCAACAATTTAAAAACAATGTCCCTTCCGGAAATAAACACTTTCGTTGCATTTTGAGTGACTGCAAACAATACAGCTGAGTTGCGTCCTGTCAGAATCTGATAATTGTGTGTTTGAATCATTGTTACTGGTGAATGGTTACTGATGTATATCTTGTCTCGGATCGAGAAAAATCAACAAATGTTGCTCTGACACTTGTTGTTTAATGAACTGGCATATTGCTTACTGCGGAGTAAAGCAACTAGCGGTGCTCCTTTTTTTTGCGTTGTTGTAATGCTAGTTTATGAAATTTCAGGATAACAGACAGTTTAACAGTGTTTGGTCTCTTCATGACGTCAGATTCCCTCGCCGGTGGAACTCACCTCAATTTCGTGCTCTACTCTCTCCTTGAGGTCCCGGCAGTTCTTGTGTTATACTTCATGGTGGACAGGTACGCTCTTTCACTTAACTGATGTGTATCACTTAAACTAACTGAATTATGTACGTTCAGGTAAAGGAGAATGGATGGCCCAGTTTCTGTGTTCTGAGTTCTGGTTCGTATACCAGATTTACCCTGAAATACATGATTCCAAGTTCACCATTTTGATACCCGTGCTCATGGGTTTCATCGAAGCGATCACCGTCTAGGAACTGCATCACTTTAGGCGCTTTCCTCAACTGACATGACTGAAAATCCCAGCTGTCTCCTACACACATTAATTTTCAGTGATCCATTCATATAATTTTCACTGCTATTTTGCCAGTTATCTGTTTCGGCGGATAATCGAAAAAGGTCATGCTTTGATCTTATTTATATAATATTAAATAATGCGACTTTATTTTTTTTGTTATTAATAACGGTATCTGTATCACCTATCCAGCATGTTTAAGGGGCCAGATGACACGGCGATAGTAGTTGTTTGGATGAAGTGGGAACGTAGCCACAGATGTATATGTGCGATAAGGTTTTAGCTGATCGACAGCCTACTTGACTATTGACAACAAAACGATTAACAATAAGAGTTAATGAGTGAACTGTTGAATGCCTCAGGCAGCAATAATCTAGCTGTACCATAGCGACCCCTAAATAATCGAGTTTGCACCAGACAAACCAGTAACTGTTTATGCGTTTGTTTATTTGTTGTTTAACGCAACACTCAGCAATATTCCAGCTATATGACGGCGGTCTGTAAATAATCGAGTCTTGACAAGACAATCCAGTGGGCTATATCATGAGCATCGATGAAGCGATTTGGGATATGATGACATGCATCAACCAAGTCGGCAAGCCGGACCACCCGATCCCATTAGTCGCCTTTTACGACAAGCATAGTCGCCATATACAGCAAGAATGGGTTGCTGAAGACCTATTCTATCCCGGATCTTCAGGGCTCAACCAGTAACTGAACATTTGATCAACATCAACGACATTACGACATGGTGGCACACAATTCGCCTCAATCTACATTTGAACCCAACTCACTTAAACTTCTCATTCTACAAGTATTGAAATGGAGCATACATTTAGAGTGATAATGTAACTCATATTTCCTTACGCTGTTAGTATCAATACTACTTTATTATGTATGGCAGATATGGTCGTAAGAAAACTAGCATGACTCAACATGGCATCGCTGGCATTGCTCTGCTTGTGGCCACGGTCTTCAAATCTAAAGGCGGTAAGTCCTGAAATCAAATATTTATTTATACTCTTTGTAAGATAAAAAGCACTTGCTTTCAATCATTCTGCAGGGTAAAACACACACAAAAAATTAGTTTTATTTCTCTTTTACCACGGGGGCATGGGTGGCCCAGTCATCTGTGTAGCCGAAATTCGCTGAGTAGAGTTGCGTCCCTTGGGTATGCCAGCATCATACCCGTGCTCGTTGGTTTCGCCAAAGTGGAAAACCTCTGTACCACTGGAGACTTTCCTCCCACAGGAAACTGACACATGGTAATATGACTGAAATACTGTCTTCATTAATGTTCATCTTACAAAACTTCGTTCAAGAATTACAAGTGAAACTCAAATGCTTGACAGGGAAAATCGGAGACTTGGCACATGGACTAGCGATGTTCTTAGTTTCGTTGAGAACAAGGAGTGAGTGAGTGATTGAGTGAGTTGGGTTTAACACCGCTTTTAACAGATTCCAGTTATATCGTGGCGTGTCAGCTTAATGTGGGAGGAAAGCCCGAAGTGATGCAGGTCTTAGACGTTTACCACTTCGGTGAAACCCACGAGCAAGGGTATGGTGCTGACAAACCTAGAAACATAATCGGGGCGAACCGGGATTCGAACCCACAATCATAGGTTTCTGGCATGCCCAAGGGACGCAACTCTGCACAGCGAATCGCGGCGCGACTTAGACGACTGGGCCCCGTTGAGAACAAGGAGGAAAAGAATATTTTCCCAACTTCCAGCTATACACTGGTTATTTAAACACACAATGACACTTAGAAAGTGGTCAAATGTAACAAATGTTAAATTTAGGATCACACTTTCGAAGTAAAGTACAGATTCTCGTTCATGTTAGGTTGAGTCCCATCCAGTATTCGAACCCACACTGCCAGAGTGAGGCACCTTATCGCCAGCACACAAAGTCAGCGATCTCACCCGCTCATCCACTGAGGCTTCTACGAAATGAAAGTTCGACAACTGGCAGTCTAGATCCCATACTTTGTGTACCCCTCTGACAAGTGTAAATTGACATGACTCCCATGGCCGAAAGCTATGAACCTTCAATGTCATTTGGAAAGTGGTCAAATGCAACAAATGTTATTATATTTAAGATAAAACTTTCTAAGTAAAGTATCGTGGCTGAGTGGGTTAGATCGCTGACTGTGTGCTGGCGATTAGATGACTCACTCTGGCAGTGTGGGTTCGAATCCTGGCTGGGACTCAGCCCAAAACAGTACTAAAATCTGTATTTCACTAAGAAAGTGTTATCCCAAATATAACATCTATTAAATGGCATTTGTGTGTTCACATGGTCATATGACTGGAATACTGTCCTAAACGGTGTTAACCCAAAATCATCCTCAGCAACTATAGATTGTAATGTTTTGGTTAGGTAGTTATCAGGGCCGCGCGGTGAGGTCAGCGTTGAATGACACTCCGATCTTGATCGTATAGCATGCTGGTATTTCGAACATTTTATTACCACATGGTTGCAGGAGGCAGCATATGGTCTGCGATTGCTGTCCAAGTGTTCTCCTGTATCGGGATGTTCGGGGCGTCGGGAGCATGGGCAACGTCCTGCCTTTTCACACCAGAAATGTTTCCAACAAATTTGAGGTCAGTCTCGTTTTAAGTGATTACATCAACCCGCAGTACATATACATAAATTTCACTGACACTCTTTCAATTAATTTATGATCAAACACATCCGAACATTGGGAGACTGACACGGTTGTTTCAGGCTCTGCAATTCACTACACTGAGTTTTGTATACATTTGAACTTGTAATGTAGAATTCTAAACTCCTTTTTTATATTTATGTGATAGACACCTAGGGCATAGGTGTAATAATACAGTAAAAAGGAAATAACTCATTTTAGAAATTTTGGACTTGGGACTTCTTCTGCCTTTGCTCGACTTGGGGGAATGTTGGCTCCATTCGCGAGTCTCCTTGTAAGTATCACCAGTTGCATCGTCAACTCTCAGTTGTATCATTATTACCATGTGTTGAGTATCAAAGTATCAAACTGCTGAATGCGTATCAAACGCAGTTGCATGATTGAGTGAGTTAAATTATTACGGTTCAGTGCAGATTTTAACACCATTCAAACAATATTCCAGCTGAAGACACCAGATATGGGCTTTACACCACTCGCGATCGGCTACCCCACCGCTCCCCAGTTACATGAATATCTAAAACCTCTTATTTTATATCGTGTTATGTCATTTAAACTGAAATTCAGTAACATGTGTATCAGTTTTCCTCAAACAGACAATATTGTCTCCTCTGGTAGCATTTCGTTGGAATTTATCGCCAGAAGGTAGGTAGCTGTTCAAAACATTTAGTCAGTCAGTCAAATTCCTATTCCAATGTCCCTTGGAAGCAAATTCAAAACAAATCCTTGATGTAGCCTTCTTATCCTCGCCCTTTAAGTTAACGACGTCTAATCTGATTGGAAAATGGTGTCAAACTGTCATGTGTGAATGAATGTATGTAGCTTCAAATGAATATGATATGAACGGTAGCCAATCTTTCTCTCAAACAAGCAGTTACTCCAGCCAGTGTGTTGAACGATTATGTGAAATAATGTAAGAAGTAGCTGAAAATGTAATCTCATGGCAGTGCTTTTGACTTGTTGGTTTGTTGATTAACGCCGCATTCAGCAATATTCCAACTTTCTGTCTGGAAATAATCGAGTCTGGATCATACAATCCAGTGATTGGCATCAGCAACATCTGTCGCCTTTATTTATGATTATGGAAATCATTTTGTCGTTTGTATTTGTTGTAATTTTGTTTACTTAACGTACGTGTCTAGTAATTTGCGTGTTGGATATGTAACAGTTAGTGTTATTACCGAGTGTTTATTTACTTTAATGCACATTTATGTGATTATGCGACCACAGGCTGAGCACGTTGAGTGGGCCCCTGGAACCATCTTCGGTGTGTGCTGTCTACTGGTCACCGTCCTAGTGAACATCCTGCCAGAGACGATGGGGAAAGAACTCCCTCAAACCCTGGATGACGTGGAAGCATGGCATAAGAAGACGGACGCCAAGACAGCAGATGCGAAGAACATTCGTCCGTAGTGCCTTGGCACTTAGTCTTTTAGACATAGACTTTTCTGTTCTTCAAATTCGAGAAACTAATTAAGTGTGAATTTAGGTTAACATTACGTGTTGGATGTAAGTAAGCTTGATATCCTGGTGTATATATGACTGTAGAAGTTGTGACATGTCTAACATTTGCGTACAAATAAATAAATGACTGTTGTACTCTGGTAACAAAGAATTACTGGGACTGCCTTTATTTATTTAACAGTGTGCGGCCAGCACATTGACATGCACTTACACTTACAACTGCTGCACCTGCTTAAATGACCCGTGAAGATCCTGGGTAGAATAGGTTTTCAGCAACCAATGCGGGATCGGGTGGTCAGGATCGCTGAACTGGTTGATGCATGTCATCGTATTCCAATTGCGTGTATCGATGTTCATGATGTCGATCACCGGATTGTCTGGTCCAGACTTGATTATTTACAGACCGCCGTCATACAACTGGAAGTGCGGTGTTAACCAACAAACAAACAAAACCTGCATAAATATCAACACCTACATCTAGACTACATATACACCTGTCCTTTCACCTAAACCTGAAACCTGTTTCTGTACAAACACCTACACCTGCACCTGCACCTACACCTGCACCTACACTTGCACCTGCACCTACACTTACACCTACACCAATACGTTAATTTTAGAAATGACCCCAATATGTCTGCCATAAAACGCTTTGAAAGCTTTATTAAGGCCTTGGGACCCGTGAAGATCCGGGGTAGAATAGGTCGTCAGCAACCCATGCTTGCCGTAAAAGGCGACTATGCTTGTCGTAAAAGGCGACTAACGGGATCGGTTGGGCAGGCTCGCTGACTTGGTTGATGCATGTCATCGATTCCAATTGCGTGGATCGATGCTCATGATGTCGATCACTGGATTGTCTGGTCCAGACTCGATTATTTACAGACCGCCGTCATATAGCTGGAAGTGCGGTGTTAAACAACAAACAAACAAAACCTGCATAAATATCAACACCTACATCTTGACTACATATACACCTGTCCTTTCACCTAAACCTGAAACCTGTTTCTGTACAAACACCTACACCTGCACCTACACTTGCACCTGCACCTACACCAATACGTTAATTTTAGAAATGACCCCAATATGTCTGCCATAAAACGCTTTGAAAGCTTTATTAAGGCCTTGGGACCCGTGAAGATCCGGGATAGAATAGGTCGTCAGCAACCCATGCTTGCCGTAAAAGGCGACTATGCTTGTCGTAAAAGGCGACTAACGGGATCGGTTGGGCAGGCTCGCTGACTTTGTTGATGCATGTCATCGATTCCAATTGCGTGGATCGATGCTCATGATCTCGATCACTGGATTGTCTGGTCCAGACTCGATTATTTACAGACCGCCGTCATATAGCTGGAAGTGCGGTGTTAAACAACAAACAAACAAAACCTGCATAAATATCAACATCTACATCTAGACTACATATACACCTGTCCTTTTATACACCGACCCTTCCGTGGAATGACCTTGACCCGTCTACACCGTCAACGCAGACTTCAATGGACACGAACTGTACGTCAGTGGCAGCAACGTGACGGGGCGAGAGTGCTCTTTACAGATGAAAGTCTGTTCTGTCTGTTAAGGAACGATGGCAGAGTTCAAGTTTTTCGACGAAGGGGAGAGCGACTGGCTCCAAACTTCATTAGAGAAGTTCACCCGTTTGGAGGTGGAGGCGTCATGGTATGGGGTGGCATTTGTGGCCAGATTACAACACGGCTGGTTATCATCCGAGGAAACCTGAATGCTCAGCGATACAGGGATGAAGTGTTGAGACTTGTTGTGGTGCCCTTTATTCAACATCAGCCAAGAAGATCAATTTTGCAACAAGACAACGCAAGGCCTCACACTGCCCGAATTGTTCAAGACTTCCTGAACAACGTTAACGTCAACGTATTGCCCTGGCCACCTTGTTCTCCAGACACGAACCCCATTGAACATCTCTGGGATCATTATGATCGTCACCTGAGACAACATGTACCGCCTCCAGCGAACTGACAGGAACTCTATTGAACTTATTGAACAGGATTCCTGTTGACATTATCCGCCGACTGACGACGTCAATGAGGAGGCGTGTGTTGGCGTGATGGATGCCCAGGGTGGTCACACTCGCTATTGATGACGTGTTACCTGACTACCTGAGTCATTAATGGACTCTTCATGAACTTTTTCAATGAACTCTGATTTGTGTAATTTTATATTTGGACCCCTTGACTCTTTCTTTGTGTATTGCGGAGAATGCAATATCGGCATTACAATGCATTTTCATTCTAATTCATGGAAAATGATTTCTGTTTATAAGTTAATCATCACAAATCTCATATATGCCTTTGTTTTTGGTGTTTGGTCAAGTGAAGTCGGTGAAAACTTTTGCCCGGTAGTTTATATCACCGGTTGTTAAACGGTTAAACATGGCTACTTAATGCATGCGGTGGCAGCCAGTTTGACTGCCATTTGGGATTTCAATATAATGCAAGGCTGCGATGTTTTAGGTTAATACAGAAATGCAATCTTTGACCCCCAGACCTGTGCAAAGACACCAAAATGACTGTCCTAACTGCTCTTTGACCGGGGGATATGGCCACTTGTATGTGGTAATAATCATTTTGGCGTCCATTTTGGATTTTCATATAAAAAACATGCTCCGGTGGTTTTGGTAAAGGCAGAATGAAATCTTTGACCCCTCAAACCTAGTCATAGACACCAGAATGACCGTCCAAACTGCTCTATGAGCTTAGATATGGCCACTTATATGTGGTAACACGTATTTTGGCTGCCATTTTGAAAAAAGGTGATAACACCCTAAAAGCTGCCACCGCTGCAATGCGTCACACATTTTCCAACTCTAGGGGTCCATACCTTGCCCAAAATCGCTATGAGCATTATTCCTCTAACTTGATACCGGTGGCCAAAATTTTGGACCGAGGCTGATGGCCTATTTCACCTAAACCTGAAAGCTGTTTCTGTACAAACACCTACACTTGCACCTGCACCTACACTTACACCTACACCTAAACGTCAATTTTAGAAATGACCCCAATATGTCTGACATAAAACGCTTTGAAAGCTTTATTAAGGCCTTGAATGAAGTAACCCTGATCAAACAGCTTTTGAACAAGAATCATATGATGCTCTTAAAAGTTTTCATTGAAAGAGCATGCTCGACCTTACCTTAAAAGCTGTTCGATATTGAACGAAATCAGGTCATCGATATATCTGAAACTGAAGTTCTTGGACAAATTCCCTTGTTTTGAGTTTGCCAGTTCGAGCAACAAGAAACAGGATGCTCATGTTTAAAGAAACAGATCAGCATGAGGGGGCGTCCAAGTGGTGCTCATGGGGAAGCTTAATCCTTGCCCAGATGTCCTATCCGCAAATTTCACAAACAATGTCATCTGTGTGGAAAAATATATCTCAGCTAACCGTCAAAAGTGGTGACACCAGGTGTTCGCGAGAAAGATAAGCTTTCCTGTCGGTATTGTTTCTAGTCCAGCATTGCACATTTTAGCAGTAAAGTTCAGATGCCATTTGCTCTCAGTTTTCCCAAATTGTCCTGAACGTTTGAAGATAGAGATGTAACTATGGATAAGGTCTGCACGTTTGGTAACAAATAAACCTTGGATCAATAACTGAAGTTATCCTTTGGGTACAAAGTTGAAAAATCAAATGTTTCAACGTAATTGCATTTAATGAGATTTATGAAAAAAAAGGTAATCATGTGATTCTCGTCTAGTTTGAATTAAGATATCCATTGTGCTTGAGACGACAAAAGAACGGCCACTGATATTTGTCATGCTAGAGGGGGTCATGCTAGATCCCGTCTTCAAATAGTAAATGTGCTCATGCACATATTTACATAAATGATACACATGAAATTTCGTCGCCATGACTTTGCAAGCAGGCATAAGTAAGTCCAAGGCAACTGGGATCTAGGTGACGGGAGCAAGGGATTATTTGTTGTTTAGACGTCAAGAATGGCAGATAAGAGCCTGAAAATTGACCCAGTACTTGAAGCATTAGGAGGCAGAGGACGCAATCCGATTTTTCAATACTTCTTGTGTCTTTTTTCGAACTTCTCAGCGGCGTTCCAGCTCTACAACATTATTTTTGTTGGTAAGTTGTATTGACTTCTTGATGACAATATATATTGAACCGCAAAAGAAACGTCACCCCAAGTTACATTGCATGAAAAGTTGTCATTTAAATATTTGGGTAATTTTGGTCAAAGTTTCTAAAATTAAACATTACCTTGTCCGGAAAGATGAAATTTTATGATAAAAACAAAGCAGATGACAATAAAACCGATCGCCCAAACGCATCACGGCAAAGGCCATGGTAACCCATGGTCTTTTCTGACCGCTATGGACGTCGCCCAGTCTTCCTCATCTCACACTTCTGTTTCCTGGCAATAGGCGTGAGTGTGGCCTTTTCCCCAAACTACACTGCATTCCTTGCAATACGACTGTTCTTGGGCATTGTGCAACAGGTGAGAGGAACAGAATTCATTCAGTGTAGCAAATAAACATACCATTTCACTGTAGAAATAGGTAATGCGTATATATCGCCATATTAAAAATAATTTACAAGTTAAATCTGCTGGTAGCCTAGCTATACATCTACATCTCGTATATCAGAGTATAATCTCCATTCTACCAGGGCGAAATTAAAATTAAGCTCTTTGGTATTGGCGAAGATATTAAATGAAGCACTATTAATTGAGCATAAGTTGAGCAGTGTGGCATGGTTTGATCTGCATTAAGGAAACACAATGATGTTACTTAAAGCATGCTGCTCTATATATTCTTTTTCCCTCTACATTATTTTATTTACTCGCATATAGAACAGACATTGAAAGTGTTGAGCACAACTACTTCGAAAGCAAGAACTAAGTAGACAACCGTAATGTATATCGGGCTCATTATTTCATAAGAATGACGTCAACTAAGCTCTGATTTTTAGAAGCGACCCGTCGCACGCCACTGCTTCACCAAATATGAACGTAAACGATAACATCCTGTATTTGTTTTTTTATATTTGGCCCATTTCTTGAGCGGAATATATTGGTCCATTACAAGTGCTTCTTGATTAAATGTGATCCCATGGTGTCGAGACA